CTGAATCTGACCCTGGCATCTTATCAGCTATCTTCTCTGACATCAACCCGACCATCTGATCTAACTGCAACTGTTCTCGCGTACGAGTCGTTCGGGGCTGCGATCACACCACGCTTATGTGCCCGATCGGTCGTGTAACCCAGACTATGCAAAACAACCGCCGATTTGACTCAACTCTGTTACTGTAATTTGCTTCTGTCTTTTTTCTCCAATGGAACACTAGGCTTCGGTTATTAAAACATTGTGCTCATTAGAAGAACGGAAATGTTTTTTAATACAACTATTTTGCGCTAGCTGTGCAACTGAAAATGGGAAGATGTTTTTCGTATTGCGACCATTTCATATGAATTCTAATATTCCGTTCATTGATTTAGCCTATTCTCCCGGTAAATGCTTGATTTTCTGAGTTTCCTCAGTTCCCTTTGTCATTTATTCACGCATTCGGTCACTTTGTTACTCCGATTTTTTCCATCATGTTGATTAGTGAGCATGGATTGTGTGAAATATTTATAAAATGGAATGCTTTTGCCCAATTGTTTCTGTGGACGGTGGATGAGCAATCGTAGCGTTGCCAATGGATCTTCAATGGTCTGCCAGAGATCTTCGATGCTACGGAATAATCATAATAATTTAATGCTGAATAACCTTTTTAATGATACCACACAGCCGTAACCAACCATAATTCATGTGGCTTGTAAACTGCTCCTCGTCCGAGCTGCCTGTGTTTGTCCACTTCCATGGACGGCTTCCTGCCTCGGTCAAACTATATTTGAATAACCATCACAAATATCATTGATAATCGTATTTAGCAATTTGAGTGGCACGTAAATCATAGCCAATCCTTTTTACACGCGACCATGTTGGATGTGTATCACACTATAAACGATGAAGTTTACCTCGTATTGACCATTGGATTTTTCCCTCGGGAGATATTTGGGGGATTGGGGTAATTCAGCATACATTTGAGGTGAGTTTGGTAACTCAATAGGTGGGGGATCAAATATCGTCTACGTTCTTCGGAAACATTCATGGTTCAAATGAATTCATCTCGTTTAATATGCCCCACCAACAGAATATTCGTAATCATTCTAAAACTATTACCCCTCGGTCGTAAACCAAACACCTAGATGAATGATAGACAAATGGGACACGCTATACGTTGTTTGAGTAAAGTGAAGCTGTTCATTGCCGGGGCCATACACACATACTGCACATTTTCAAGGTTAATTCGCTGACCTCATGCTCCCGTAAATGGTTAATTTTTAATCTATTGAAATGTGCGTCCCACCATAAATCGTTGGGATTTTACCGCTTTAAAGTAAGCACTCTGTTTGCGAATACCACCCCTGTTCTGTGTTCGTGGTGTTTATTCTAACGTTATCGAACTGTTTTCTTACAACCAACTCTGTCAGTGATATTTTTTGCCCAAATTCATCCCCATTTTACCTCCGGTTTTTGTTTGCTAGTCTTCTTCATCCTATGATGTTTGAATCCAATAGGGAGAGAGACGCGGAGTGCCTCACAAATAAATTCTCACATTTTTGCTGTCTCGCACTACCCGACACACACTCTAGGTTGTTCTACACGGACTGGTGTGCGATTCGAAAGGACAAAAGATGTCCAAAAGCAAAGGGAATGTGGTGGACCCGTTGGATTTGATTCACGGAGTTGGTACACTTCCAAAAGTACGTTCTCACTTGTCACTCCCGTGGAATGTTGGTCATAATATTGCGTCACTATATTTCACTCTCTGGTATCTACCAAAACTGGCTATCTAACGAATTGTGGGGTGAGATTCTGTCATACATATAACTCAATCCGCCATAATTTCGTAGTCGTGATCCCACTAGGCCTATTATTTTAGTTGGAGAATTATAATCGGGGCTTTGAGTTATCTAAATCCCGGTCCATAGAGCAACGAAGCGAAGTACGCAAACCACCGGGAAGCAGTATTTAGTCAGTGGGATGCTCGAGCCAATAACGGGATCTGGTTTATTGTAGGGGGCGCTAGGACCATTTGGGACTTGTCGTCCAATGCCATCGATTAGCCACACATAGATACACTCCGAGGTGCAGAATAGCTCTGAAACCATTGTCGTGCTTTTCCACCCGATTCGGATTTCACTACAGGCGTTGTTGAACCCTGNTGGGATGAAGTTACGAGGACGAGCATGCTCTCATTGATTTGGTGTTCTGTTTACCAAATGAGAATTTTCCGTGAACCCTATGCATGTTTGCATTGAGTAATCTATTTCACTTTTCGGGAGGGGGAGGAGAGGAAAGAGATAAATGCATCCATCAGTTACTTCTGATTTTTTCCTAACCTAAATCATTCTCCAGTTTGATACTATCTATCACGTATGGGCGAAGTGAGAGCCATGACTGAAACCAATCGTGGTAGGTAAATGTGAACTTCTCGAGCTGATCATCCAATATGCCGGGGTTTGAGCTGAGGTCAGGTAAACAACAGGTGTTCAACTTCTATGTGTGATATGACAGGCAATCGTGTTGTCGTATGCCTAACGGAAGAAAACCATCAGGGGCAGGGAATGTAGAGCTCGGTTGTGTAGTGGGAAATATTTTGTGTTTGCATATGTTTGAGTATATAACTAATACCAACCTGATGGAACTTCATCCAGGCAGCTGGTGAAGAGTTGGAATAAATAAGTTGCAGAATGGGTAGAGTTCATATTCTGATCGATATGCAGTAATGTGCTTGCCATCGATTTCTATGCGGATCAAAACACATTTAGAATAAAAGGTTATAAGACATATAAATAATATTTGACTGAATGATGGTGTAGTATGAAAGTCTGCTAAGTGAAGGACCATTCAACACAACACGCGTGAATCTATATACCTATATACCACTACTGATCCTGCATTTCCTATATGGGAACGGAGAACGGAGTCCCGTTCACAATCTAAGTCGTCAATTTTATAACCCTGTTTGATCTTCAGTTTACGACATCTTTTCCAACGTACGTTTGCTTTTCCACCTAATGCCCCTCCCCCTCGTTCTTATCGTACCTTGCTTCGTTCACTGTCAGCATCTTATTGGATCTAACATCCAATCAATCGGCGCGGATGCTTTACGTGCGTCTTTACTCTCTTGCACACTCGACCAGTCTCAGGTAGCTTACAATCCAGAACTGGCTGTCGAAATGCGTCGCTTCTGTAATAAAGTGAGTAGGTCCCTAAAGCCACAAATATATATGATTTTCTTTCTTCTGAATTTTCGTTTATTCTCTTTAATGGCCCGTTTTTCATAGTCGTGCAATCTGTTCGTGTGGTTATCACATTATTTTGTGATAAATAGTTTACCACCGTCAAGTCAAATCACCCCCGCGATGTTCCATACACAATCGCTATTTTTGCACACCATTCCGATTTCTAATATGCAGTTGATCGATGCGTAAATTACATATCGCGTTTGTATCCAGCCTATTCCCACGCGACAATTTTGGTCTACAACTATGCATCGATGTGCAAGATCTGATATTTTTACAGGTAGAATAGATATAGGTCGAATTGGACAGACACAAATCGCACGGATTCCAAGTAATTAATCGAACAGAGGTTGTCAACGTGTTTCTAATAAATTAAACTTGAAATATCCGATAAAATCTATACACTAAAAGCACGCCCAGCCGTCAGTCAGGTCATGCGCTTCTAAAATGATCCAGTGACTGGATGAGTGCATTCTACAGAAAACCAACACGGTTTTTTTCTTGTCTGAAAGCTTTGTTTACTATATATTCTCCTGAGAACAGACTAGTACTATTAGTTGCCAATGCCTTAATTCGTTTTCGAATAGCACGACGGCCTGTCAGCTTCTTCCATGTTGTCCCCAGGTTGCTTATTTTTGGTTGCTGACTTCTGTCGTGCATCTGTTGTATATTAAATTGGCATTAGTATCAAACAAACTTGGTTGCGACATGTTGATAACAGGACATTTTCAATTGTTGAAAATGAGGAAAAGGTCATCCAAACAAATACTGATTCAGTGCATGGTCGTATGCAAATGATTTTTCTGCGAGTACTTAGTGTTAATCACCTCTGTGTGATTTTGGAATACGTCACGAGACCAAACGGTTATGGTCATGGACTGAAATTATCTTTCCACAACTGTTTCGGAGCACACACAGAGGGAGGTTGGTTACTCTAATTACAATCGCTGCCACCGTTGATGCAGTACTGACCGTGCGGATCGGACGTGGCTTGGTCGACTGAAATGAGTTCATTGGATGGTGTTCTCCGATTTTCCGATTCCAATCATCGTCCTTCGGTTAGACTAGTTTTTGTGATGTCCTTTACTGCGATCGAACACATGTCTGGTGGTTTCACCCAAGTAGCTTGTTCTTAAAGAGCAAGCGAATTGGTGCACACAAAATGGCCAAAAGGGTGATGGTGGTGGTGTTGGTACTCAGTCGGTTAAGATACGGACGGTGTGAGTTCAAATCCCACCCCCGCCACCTAGCGCCTGAGCAGCTGCAGAGTACCATCACCGTGATAGTGGATTAAAAAAGATTGATCATCCCAACCAAATTTCTTTTCTGTTCTCCGCAGATTTGGCAAACCGCTCGGTTCGCATTGTTACGCCTCCAAGCGGATCAGGAAGGCGCTCTACAGTCCTTAGTACAGTCGTTGGATTTGGCAAAGCTTTGGAGTCAAGTTGAATCCATCTATGAAGTATGATTTATTAAGCTAATGCACGATTTTGCATGTCACAACAACTTCTGAGATTTGAATATACCACATCCGATAACCGATATAAATTTCATTGCGAAGAAATTATCTTCCTGCACCACATCTTTCATCCCAGATTAGTTTTGAACAACTTATTCCCATTGATTAATAAGCTTGGTTTTGCATTTTACAACTTAAGACATATTTGGCATGCGAGCCCCGTGTGATAACTGGGCAGTTGATACCGTGGCAAAGGGTAATAGATAAATGCGGTCCAATCTGTGTATTTCGCGCACGTCTAAATCCAAACTACGTGCCAAACAAACCACAGTAGAATAAAAAAGAGAAGGGTGCATGATTTGTTTGTGGGCGTGTTACTGCCAGCTTGCCCAGATTAGGTCAGGTGAACTTTCATTGGGACATCTACACGGCGATCCCTTCACTAGCCAATACCTGACTCGTAAAACAACGAGACGGTGGGTGAAAACGGCTGTCTATTGGGAGCCGGTGTTCAGTTCATCGGATTACATGCATTTTGGACCGGGTCAAACGTCCAATACACCTCGCTCACCAACCGAGCCCGTTCAGTACTAACGCTTGAACTCTCTAGATCAGTGCCATGTTTTCGCATGCTACAGGATACCCTTGCTCATTGTGACATGTTTTACGAGTCAGACAGTTGGATGAAAACCAAGAGTAGTCGAATCATGACCCAGTACAAGGGATTGAGAAACTCCATTAGGGAACTAGGCCTGCTAATTGGATTACATTTCCCGGTCGGGACACCTGTGATTAAACTACCCAATGGTTGGAGACACAGGGCGATGCGATTGCCTGTCATTCATCGTAGCGATCGCACATTCGCTCCCTTCTTGTGCCACTCTATAGTTTATTTGCGTTTTATATATCTACCTTTGTATCACTGGGTGTTTTTTTGCTTGATTTTTTCCCCCATCATTCGTCGACCAAATGGATGGCCAAAGACATAACATGGTGATTATTGCATAACTGAAACTGCAATAAACTGTAATGTCGCGCATCACTGATATCAATCATAAAGTGATTCATTTAGGGATAAAATCCTTACTATCACCAATAAGATGATTATATGTTGTCTGAACTGAGTGTAGCAAAACTAATAAACTCCTTGATCAATTTCGGTGCTTCATCTGCGTTTCACATCCGTCGCCGAATCTATATGCGGTTTCCGTTACCCGACCGGCACATCGATTGGCGTACTTGCGACGCCGGTAACCGTGACGGCTTAATCACGTGAACTAATATAGCCTATCCTCTTTCCTGATAATTCACGGACGCACGTAGTGTAAGCTACTCGCCAATCAGATTGCACACAATAGAGCATGTTATATCGGTCGGACGTGGGTGTGGCACTGGATAGACGTGTAAGATGAATTTCCTGCATTTATAATAACTACTTTACAATTTAAAGTAGGCACTTTTCGTATCGGAGATTTTTTAAATTTTCATTAGACCCAGTTTAGACAACACCGCACGTATGTAACCTGATATGATTACGAGGATAACACTAATATTCGAGGAAAAATATTAGAAAATACCCACGTTTTAAACCTCGTTCACCTTCCGGTTTAGAGCACGCACCTTGTGGATCGGTGGCTCATTCATCGTTTGGCCAATATTGTTCAATTGATTCATGATACCTGGTCAGAACAGAGTTCCATGGACAATACGGATTCCGCCAGCGCGTACGTTTTTCACCCAGCTATTCAACAATTGCATTACTGGTGGACTGAGGAATTGTGCTCAGTCTACTTGGAAGTGATCAAATATCGTGAAAAAAGTGAGTTTTTATCTCATCAGACGATGAAATTATTTGCAACGTCACTTAAATTTAGTTGATAATAGTGATTAAATCGATATAAAAGACACGTTCTGCACCATGGGGTTCGAATGGAGCCATTAGCATTCAACTTCAGTTGGAACGGATCTTACAGAATTCGTCTAGCCACTCACAAGATCACTTAATACCGCAGGCGTGCTCGCAGCATCAACGAGAAGTTGATTCGGGATTGGACAACAGGAGAACGAAATAAATAAAGGCTGTTTAATCAACCAGTAGGGCAGTGCAATCTAATTGGTGCGTAATTGTGTCGTTCTCATATTTTTCCATGTGTGCTTTATATACGCGCCTCGCATACTCGCCAACTGTCGTTCCCTAACAGTAGTCTGTACTGCTCTTTACTGTTGTGGGCTAAGCTAGTGACGCCCATTTCGATTTTACGTGTAGATGGAACATAACAACTTCGTAGGATTTTGTTGTCTCCTGACACGATACTAATCGTATCTTATCGGTGCCTATTGTGCTTCTACATTCCTGGTTCGAATAATCATATCGCATAACTAAGCAGTAGGCTCCATTCTGCAGTGTGTATGTATGGTAAATGAAAATCAATCTGAAGTTGAGGAAGCGCATCTGTTTCTTTCCACATAGCTGCTTCAAGTAGTCGGCTTTTGGACTTCTTGATTTCAAGCTATAATTCTCTTGAACGTTTGTCCTTACCGTTCGAGGAATCAAGTGTAATGACCGACGTTCCTTAAAAATATATTAATGTTTTCACATAGATCTGAGTCTAGACTGTGTGCCAAACAAATCACTATAAAATAATCTTTACCAAAAGAACAGGTCCCATGATTTGCTTTTGGGCGTGATGCTGCCACATTATCCAGGTCAGGGCGGGTGAATTTTCATTTAGCGCGGCTTTTCTGAGCACCTATCTTATACCAGCTCACCATATCCCCCCATCTTCTTGTCGTCTTCTAGCCATTTGAAATAGTGCGCCACTGTCCCATTTTCCCACATGTAATATTTCAGTTGCCGTCAAACGGAGTCGAATTGTATGCTATCTCCGAGTTACACTTATCAATACTGCCTGGTCACTGATTTTATCTCATGGTATAGAAGGGTGAACCGAGGCTTGTGCAAGAAGATACAATCTGAACGATGATCAGTCCGAACACGTAACATTTCTCTCAAACCACTACTGATAAGCAACTGTTAAATGCAACCTCTTATGGATGTAGAATCTACGTTTCGACAACGGACGCGGGCGCAGGCCGGTGAACATTTTTTTCAGTTTCAGTTTGAACAACCATTAACCACGCATATTCGAGCGCCGGTTTTGGTTGCTGTCGTGTGGCTGCCCATTTGGATGAAGAACAGGAGAAGAAAAGCAAGTTGAAAGTGGAGTCGAAAAGAAAATGGAGAAGTTCAGTGATCTAACGTTGCAAAGAAATTGAGGAGATGCATGAACGCCACTGTTTACGACACCCANCACCCAGCCATATCACTCAGTGTCTCTAACCATCGGTGACCATCATCCCGAGGTCCCCAGCCAGGGAGCCTAACGGGGCCTATGTGACCTAGTCTCCTGGTTAGGGATTTCATACCCTCGTGCCAGGTCTAAGCTTGATCATCCTTGGCTTTTTTCCACTCGGTATCTGCTTCGGCGAACATCGTTCGCCGTGGTAACCTACCTGGTGACATGCGTAACACATGTCCCAGCCAACGTAATCTATGGAGGTGCACCACTTGCTCCTGTGGGCGACCGTATTTACCCAAAACTCTGCCCCTAACCTCAGCATTGCTCATCCGGCTACCCCACCGCCGGTGAACATGCTCCCTAGCCGTAGACCTTCGTCGAGAATTCGGCACAGATTGGTATCCGATCATTGCTCTCGTCAGTAATTGTGGGACGTTTTTGTATGGTATCGCATAGGAATTGATCGTCTCACTCACCCGGAATTCGTCACGTGAGCTGTTTGCGATCAGAATTTATATGATTTCTGTGTTTTAGCTTGATATAGCTCAGAACTTTAGTCCGCACTTTTGTTGTCATTTTATGGCAATTGTTTCCCAACGGATGATGATTACCAACTACCAATGTTTTCTTTTCTTGTAGGCGTGTGTATCGCCCTTCCCACGATACGATTCAAAGCATAGCTTAAGTTGGATTGTGTTACACTATCACTGTTCAAGGATTTAAACCATTTCCCATTCCAAGCGCGTGTTATCACCTGCTAATAGAAAATAGGGTATTTTTCGTCACCTCTCATGGTTTTTCTAGAACTTCTTACACCTAGCACTTCTATCTGATTATTTTGTTCAGTGATGGCACCATGTTTGTGTTTTCACATTAAGCCTTAAGTGATTTTCTTTATCCACTCTAGCATGCTATTTTACCATCATTCAGCCCGTCCGAGTACAGATCTTTCTGTGTTCCTGTTGAGTATGCTCACTGGGTTGCACATGCTGCACCCGATCATGCCCCATGTGACCGAATCAATTTGGCAAGGATTACGTCACGCGTCGAATTCGTCCCATTTGTCCGACTCCTCCCAGCCACAACCGGAAACGTGTCTCGCGTTGCAACCGTTTCCCAATCCGGATTGGGTGAGTTGTCTCGTGGCCGGTTCTCAGCCCGTATTTCCCGTCAGACATGTTTCCATCGCTCAAGTCCTCTTCACTTGCATGCTAATTGGCTTCCAAATGTTTCAGAGTAGAGGAATCAGCCACCTATTGTCCCCCCATCCATCCGTCAATGGGTATCACCTAATCACAAAACGAATCTCTTTCCTAGAACGAGTCTTCTATGTGACAGCAATGGGGTGTCGTTTTCATCCACGAAAAATGTGTCTTGGTGCCCTTGTATTCGGTTTCACGTGCCTTAGTTTTATGCTCGTATTATTTTCGTAACGTAAAATTTCGAGGGTTTTTTATCGTCAAATCTCCCAGTGTTTGCATTTCATCATATGTGCATGTATGAGGCGTTGCTTATTGTTTGGAAATCAATTTGGTCGAAGGACTGTGCTCATCGCAACTACTATTGCTATACCCACATTAGTTACGCAACAAGTAATTTGTTCCTATCTCTCTGTCAGTCTCTCACACGCACACTTTTACCCATCCCGCAATCGTTCATTCCACAAAAAACGTTTACCAAATATCCGTCACCAGGTCGGATAGCGCGGTAAAATTTGTTTAACTGATCGAATTCTAACCGAGATCCGAATCCACAAATGAAAAATCCCTAATTTTTCCTGACCAGCAAATGATTTGAAATTTAGTCTTTTTATCTCGGCGAAATGTTGCTACTTCCTTCTTTCTTTTCAAGTTAGTCAGCTGTGCCGTTCGATGCTGAAGCTATGTTGACGGGCACAGCTTGTGTATTCGAACGAAACGATGATCTCACTTGAAGTTTGCCTACTAGGTCTCTGAGGGTCTAGACTGAGCTTGGCCATCCACGCATTCAGTTTCTCGATTCATCTCGCTCTCTTACCAAAAACTGACCAAGTTCAGTGGCCAACGGGTCCTTTCATTTCCGTCCAAAGCTGGCACGATCAACCCTTAAGGATATAACATTTCTGGGTTAAGGGTAGGTGTTGAACAGCCAGATTCTACCACACTGAAACCTCGCTCGGTAAATCACTCAAATACTTGTGTTCACTTGAGGAGAAAATCTTTCATTTATCCTATAGATAACTATTATGGCTGACTCGGCCCGGTGAGCAACATGACGGTCGAAGCGCAAACCACATTCTTGGGTTACCATTATCTCGCTATTGGGGGAGTCCCTTGAAGCTGAACAGGTACTCTAAAAATCTTGACTGGACTCCCGACGTCATGCGTTCGCTGTCAGTGTGCACTGCCTGGAATTCCCTACCATCTCATATTGTATGTGCCGAGACGATTGATTCTTTCCAGGTAAAACTTGACGAATCAACAACACACATTGCATTCCAACATCCATGGAAACACAAAACACAACAAAATGCAGCATATGGAAATTTTGTTCATCACTGTTACAGTTCAATTCGCCGTGGAAATACGTTGCATGTGCGACAGGAGGTGATAATTTGACTTTCAGGGTATTAGAATGGAATGATTAGCCGATACAGTCAACGATGGGCATAGGTGAAGTAGCAGTCAGTTATGATAATTTTCTCACCAGGTATGTGCTAACTCGACTGGCATTTGGTTCTGTGTACGAAACAGAACAGATAATATGTCCGGGTGGTAAAAACCTTCTTCTCTGCCGAACGCGTTCGGGTTGCTTAGAATCCTTCTTTCCTCTCTCCTTCTCTCAATCGACAATCGAAGTATGATATACCTTATGAATGGTGACCTTACAATTTATTAAAGACACAATCAACACACTGAACTTGTAGTGAATATCCCTATCACGCAAACACTCTCGCCGCCTCCGCCAATAATGCCATAAGGATTTATCTCATTGACTGTACTATCAACTTATTCAACTGTGACCTCTTTATCAAATTTGTATTTTCGCAGATAGTCAGAATCTGGTGAACTGAAGTAAAGCTCCAACAACTGTGCACACGCACACACAGATAATCGTCTAAATGTCACCTCACCAGAAAATTGGGTCTCTACTGTGTATATTCACGAAATACAGGCAAATAATCGGATAAAATGATCCAATTATATTGTTATTTTTCACGAGCATTGTGCTTTGTGTTGGGTTCATCAGCCGAAATTATGTGCTCGCGTTCGGTTCATTTCATACCCTAGTCCCATTCCCTGGTGGTTGTTTATGGTGAACAATATCTCACGTGACCGATCCCGGATTGTTATCTGTACGATTCAGCCACGTGATTATTGTCCTTCCGGATGGGCCGTATTAGTTAGAGATCATAAAATATGCAGTGTACAGACCTCTGCGAAGTGAGATACACGAACACAGCGACACGTTTAATTTACCATTCGATGTTCATCTAGGTAACTGATTCATATTTAAATAATGATGCTTTCTTATGAGCTGAGAGCACGTGTGGTGCTCGGGAAGAAAATTCTTGAAAATTATTTAGACTGTGATGTACTGAGTCACGAACTGCCGTTGGGGAATGACATTGTCACATTGTTATTTTTTCTCCGGTGCCTCATCTCGATAGGAAGTCGAGAGCGAGTGAGAGCTGTCAACCACCACCTATAATTGATATTTTGGTTACCATACATTCTGCCACAAAACATACGAGTAGATCAATCAGATTACGTCCGCATTCATCGGAAGCTACCCGATTATTTATCGATTTCAGTGTTTTACTGCGGTTGGCTTTTTGGGGAGCACGCGCCGGCCTCATAAAAATCCAGCTCTTTTTCGGTGCTTGGTATAAGAGACATCCCAGTTGCCGGCGACTCTCCGGGTTCGATCTTCAGCTGTGTCAGTGAATTCGTACTGCACTGATCAGACCCAGCTCGGTCAAAACAGCTACACACTTCTTCCTACCTTCTCAGTTCACGCTTCCTTCTCGCGCTGTACAAGACGAAATCCGGTAACTATGATCACATTCGACTAGTGTGTAAATACAGTCCAAGGATTCGCGCATTTTTTTGATTTCGCAGACTTTCTTCCCGTCTGTTCAATCAGTCAGTAGGTTTCTTCCACCCACTAAGAAGTAACTGTCTTTGCCTGTTGAATGCCATGTTGCCTAGTTGTGGTGTTACGTTTTTCGAGCCAGATTTGAGTGCGTTTAAATGATGAAGATTAAACCGATTCCGTATACCCCAGGGTCACGACAGTGCTAGTTGTTTAGGCGCTCTTGCCTTACCGGTACTATTTTTGGTTATCCTTTTGTTGTCGTTCATAGAAACGACAATTTTACGAAAAAAATTACTACAAGAAGGCAGTCAAGGTATACAAGGGATAACAAAAACGGAAGTAAGGTGCAGGATTCGAACTTCTGGGTCAGTGGGTTGTTGACCTACGCTTGACCGCCGCCACCGAGCATTGCGAAATAACCAAATCCGCAATGCAGAGGTTTGGCATATCTGATATGTTTACTCACTTATATAAGGAGCTCAAGTGGCAACACTGTGTTTGATACCAATAGGCCAAATAAGAATTAGATGAGAATTTTCGGTTTATGTTGTTCAATCTAGTCGGTAACCTTATGTCCTTATGTTCTACGGACCATTTACTTACTTCACCATTTGGTTTATGATTGAGATTGAGTAACTCCCTATGGTACATTAGTCTCAGGTGGTTTGTAAACCTGAAGATAGCTCCAAAGATTGGCTTCTCACTCTCTTCTTACACTGTGAATATCCTCACCACAAAAGGTAGTGAGCAAGACTGTCCTAGTATGTGCCGACTCTGAACGTAGGCTTTTGGGTAATATTCAGAGTGGAACCTCTGAATGTCAAATCACTTTCTCGAAACGTAGCCCTGGACAAACCGGGATGTTTCCAAGCTCCCCGATACGACAGCTCCGGCCTATTTTTCTTCAATCACCCTAACCTCACAGAGCAGCTTATAACAAGTTTCGTGAAGAATTCCGTCTGGAACCCGAGTCTCTATCTTGATGGCCTTGATCACCGAGGCCCCGACGGATAAATGTCTTTAGCTTACAGAAAGTGCGGAATACCTTTTCATTCGCGTAAATATCCTCCAAAAGTTCTCAACGGGGTTCGAATCTAGCCTGTTGACTGGGCAGTTCATTGTTTTAATGTTCCCGAGCAGTAACTATATTGTAGGAAAATGGGTTGTGTGTATAACGACACTATCACATTGAAAAATCGTAGTCCTAAATCTGATTTCTGAAACCATGGAGTAAAATAAACTCGTTCACGGTTTTCATATAAAATTCACCTGTCTCACTACCTTCGAAAATTGTCAACTGAAATTTTCTGTCTTCAGAAATGGCACCTCTAACCCATGCTAACCTTTGACGGTGATCATACCTATACTATACTACTATAGATTATTTTCATGAGAGCAAGAAGAAGCATCATGATCACAGGATGTGTTGAATTCAACTATTTCGTGGTAATCTCGTCAGCTGTGTATACAAATTCGGATCACGTTTGTTTCAAAGAGGTTTGGGAACAGGCGAACACACACGGGGAAGAGAAATCAATCAATGCGAAGGCCAAAGGTCACTAATATGAACGGGATTGGGCATAGGGGCAGGGNGGGCAGGGTGGAGGGAGGGGGGCAGTGACAACTACAAGGGCAGCGCGAGGCTAGCCACAAACTCTGTCTGTTTACATAAATCGGGGTTGTAACGTCGAATGACAGCCGCTTCAGCGAATCGTAGTAAACGGCTACCTTTCTGGCGGATCAAGACGCTAAATGCGTCCCTAGGTTTGTCACATTCTTCGCAATGCAGCATATGTCCGGCGATTGAACTGGACGGAAGCTTGGATCCGTTAGACGCCGATTGTTTCGGTACATGCTCGGTCTACCCTGGTAGACAACCGTTTCTCAGTTCTTCCGGGTACTTGCGGTAGCAAGTACATTGAAATGGGTAAACACAGGAGGAGGTAACTGAAGAGTCGGGTTTGTCTAGATTGGTTTCAGTGAGCATTCGCCTCGTGTCGTGCAGTATTGCAAGGGAGGCAGCGTTATACGTTCTTTCAATCGCTTGTTTCAACCTTTTGTCAAAGTCCGCGTTTTTTTCTTTGCCTTGTATTTATAGGGGTCGATCGTATTTTCCTGCAGTCTTTTGCTATCAGACCTTTTGTAATTCAAGTTATCAGAATATCATTTCAAGTTGTCTCAGGATAATCTAAAGCCGTCTCGTTGTTCTCATCGTTCCTCGAAGCCAGTTCGCATTAGCCACTTCTGCAAATCATACCTTTGCCCTAATTTATCCGGCTTACTTTGTGTGGTGGAATTGTTTGATAGATCCATATGCTTTCAGCAATAAAGGTTATCCAATTCGTAGTCCATAATCAGAAAAATGCACTTCTGAAAAATATTCCAATTTTTGAACTCATATTTTCTTGAAAAAATTCCGCAAACTCGGCTCGTTATGAAAACATCTAAACCGCTCGTGGGCAATTTAGGAGTGGTACCTGGTTCCATACTATCTCCGTTGTTACCAGTGAGTTCTCCAGCACAATTATTTAAGTACGCTGACGACGTAGCCCTTTGCTAAACGATATCTGTTCCTCAGGACCTAAATTTCTCGAAAAATCTGTCGCATTTCTACGAATTTTCCGTTCTTTTTGGACTGCCTGTTAATTTATCCAAGTGCTTCGCATAGACTTCCACTCTCTCTCGATCTACTTATCTCCGTGACCCTTCGGTTGTAAACACCGATCCCCAAACTAGAGTAGATTCCATGAAGTATATATGAGTTACAATTGACACAAATTTAAAGTGGACATCCCATATTTACAACTCTGCACAGAAACGTCGTGGATTATTTTTTCAATTGCGAAGACTCCGACAGTTCAATGCCAAGCAAAAAATCATTTCGATTTTTGTTTATCATTGTGTTTTTCCGGTTCTTCTTTATTTTTCCTCGGTGGTTTCTGCCGGTTTACTCAAGAAAGACTTCAAAATTCTTCGTCGAGGCTTGTCGATCATCTGTCGTGTCTGTTCTATACCCGTTGATGATCTATCTAAAAAACCTGTGTGAACTTCACTTACCCGTATGTAAAACATTTGCACAGAAAATCCTCTCTGACCCCAATCATCCTTTACATGGCGATCTATCCAAATGCTGCTCTTATTCATCTACGCGCATTACAAATCGATTTTCACCTTCTAGAATTAACCTCTACAGAAATTCCCCAGTTCCCTATCTCGCCAGAATCCTTCAAAACCGTCAGAACGTTTCTTCTGAATTTCTCAGAAAAGTAGGAAGTTAAATGTTCTACTCATATTGATTCCTTCTTTTTATGAGAAGTGTAATTTTTGACTGAAATGCGGACATTTGTTCACACAAGAGTCTATACAAATACAAACACAAACTGTCATAAAATTTACGGTGTATCTCGACACCCCTCGTTACGTTCTTTCAATCGCATTTGATTTGCTGGATACTTCCATTCCCCTCTGGATATATGGTCAACTTGGTCAGTTCGATTGTTGAGTACTTGGAGGGTAGAATGTTTTGATGCTTCTATAGCAATAGCACAAAGATGAATTTTACTCTACAGGCATCCAACAGACTGGATGTGAATCTGACCTACACTGATACGTGTATTGATCGAGCATTATGGATTGGTGTTCCATTGCAGCATCATGCGACGGACGTAAGCATAGGCTCAAGCTTTGATCCTGCATGACCCGTTGGTGTCAGCGGAGCATGGTTCAGTATGACTTTTCAACTGGAGGGGATGAACACACGCCTACGAGTACCACCAGGTGATTCACTAAGTCGGAAACACTGGCGAATTGAGGTTTCAGCTGTGGCTCATTTGCCCTTGTAGCCAAAATCTGGGTCAACAGCAAAGCGCAACCACAACTCACAAGTCGGTCTAAACACCGACCTGAATCGTTTGTGTCTGTGGTGGGGCCGGCCGCTTTGGGTTGACTTTTCGCTGCCCATGTGAAAACAAGTTTCAGTTGCCCGTCCTTACATGTCGGTCTTGAAGGACAATAACGAAACACATTTGGTCCGGCCAAAAGCGCCTGGTCTGAGTGCTCGGGAAACATACGGGAGTTCAACCTTTTCTTCCGACAGAGTGAAAAGCAATCCGCTTTAAAAGTGAAAAAATGCGCAAAGCGTTTTCTTCAAATATTTTGTCACAGCAGGTTTTCATGACCCAATGATTTTTAGACAGCTATACCATCCGAATGGCATTAATAGGGTTACCAGCCTAGAAACCAATTTTAAAAAGTCGTCTTACTTATTGTCACTAAAGCAATATAGATCCAGCAGTCTCCTGT